TAAAATATGCATTTCCTTACAGGACTAAGAAAATCATGTATTATTTTAATTATTTTGCACAACTTTCCATCATATAGAATATTAAGCTCTGATTACATTTGACTGAAAATTATCTCAGTCTTAATAAAACTCATGAAACTTACACTTCAATAGAATCAAAGTAAACCTTCAGTTACTTCTAAGACTTTGTTACTGCATTCACCAGACAGTGATGCCTCAGGGGCTGATGATATAAAATTCAAGCTGGCACGCTTGAATTTTTTCTTCTCAATTTGTCCACCTGTGGGAGTCCCAGTGTTATTGCTTTTCCTTGGAAGTGGTTAAGGGTTGTAAGTATTATGAGCTTAGGTTGTCTGCAGTCTGTTCTAAAACTACTGTTGCACCAAATTTGCATCACTCATGTTTGACCAATTCCAGAGTTATTGCTACAGAGAGCAGCAAAGCATTGGTGATGTCACAGGAAATATCAATTTTATATATATATCTATATATATATTTATGTGTGTGAGAGCGTATATCTATATATATAGATATATATATATAAAATAGTAATATTGGTTTTACTGCATTTTGGCAGATTGGTAACACTGAAGTAGAGTCCAACAGGGAACAAATTGCAGTGTCAGCTGCTGGCTTGATTTGCATTCCACCTTTATCGCTTGGTGCTCAGGTTCATCAGCATTCCTGGTGCCTCATCAGAAGTCTGTTAAGTATTTAGAGTACACAATTCATAAAACAGGCTTGAAGATACTCCACTGGAGTTGCTAGATTACAGCAGTTGCTGCCAGAGCTTTTGAAGACAAAACATTTTGAAGTGATTGGTGTGTACACGTGCACACTTACGCATCCTACACTGGTAGAGCAATCAAAGCTCCCAACGTTTCAGAGCACATCAGGAGCACAGAACTGGAGCTGTCTCAGTTTTATCCAACTGGTTTAAAGCCATTAACATATTTATGCTTAGCCTGTGAGCTTGGACAGCAGAATTTAAGCCTATACACAAAGCCTACATTACATGTTGCAGTAATGTACAAGCCAACAACAAATTAACTTATCTGCTGGTGGAGGTAGAAATAAAAGCCAACCTGGCCTCAGAAATAGGACAACTACGAGGCCCAAGCACCTCCAAACCAAAAGTTTGGTGTTTCTTGGGAGTTTCTGGCTGGGGCTCAGAGTGTGTGTGGATGAATCCAAGGTCCCTGTGCTGCATTGCCCCAGGGAGAAGGGGTGGATTTAGCATTATTAATACTACCTTTGGGTCTGAGGTTCAAAATAATTTCTGTAGACACAATGTTTAAGCCACTTGTTGAAATGCATCCCTCCTCTCTTTTGGCCTTTCTTGGAAACTCTCCCACCTCCTGCCCAACTCTGCTCTGTTATTGTGGCCTTAGCAGTATGGAATAGATGGAGGCACAGTAGGAAAAGGAATTGGCTCCATTACCATGTTCTCTCACAACTGGGTGAGACTGAGAAAAAGGAAACACAGGCTGAGAACCATAAACAGTGCAGTGGACATCTATGGGCTGTGTGTGCAGAGCTGATTTTTACCAGGGGAGCTCTGAAATTATCATCTTTGCTTGTGGGCAAAAAAATGTTTGTTTGTGGGAATGAGAGCCTGTGCTGTTTTGGGTCATTGGCAGGGATAGCACCACTCAACAACAGTGCTGACTTATTGCAGTATTTAGTGATGCACAGACATTTCTACAGTGCCCATCTGCAGGGTGCTGAAGAGGGAACCTCTCACTCAGCATTTGTCTGAGGCTGTTTCTGACAGGAAGGATGACTTCTAAGATTATTTTGAATGAATGAGTGATAAAGGAAAATTTGTACCACTGTACTATGCAACTGACGCTGGCAAAGCAAAAAATTTAGTAGGCTTCAGTTTTATCAGTACCTTTCCTTTCTGCACTACTACTGCTATATATATACTATGCTATATATTGCTTTAAAAAAAAAAAAAAAGAGGAAACATAAAAACCTTAATAAAAGGCTACAGGCCTACTAGATTAAGCATAACAAGGCTGAGGGCTGAGATCAAGTTATCTCAACAGGTTACTGTATGCCAGCTGGTCCACAATAATTCTGTGTGCACATGGTTTTAACCTAAGACAGATGAAAAATAATGTTATCTTGCAGTGGGGAAGGTGTGCAGCGAGTCAAATTCCTGCATGATAACGCAATAGCTTAGGAAACCCCCTGTCTACATAGAAAGGGGATTATTGCACCATCATGTTTTGTTTTGTGCTTCTAAAGGGCTGTGCACAATGGGGTTCTAATTCATATAATGTTTGATGTGATGGCCAGAAGTCAAACTTAAATATGGATATAACAATCAGGAAGTCTTCAGTTTGAAACACAGATTTGCTTCCTTGTTTTATGGAGGTGTTACTGAGATGCCCACAGGTGCTGGAGAAGTGTGTAAAAAATTAAATGTAACCTTTAAAAATGGATTTTTTTTGTGGTTTTAGAGACACAAATACCACAAATAAAGACAAAAAAATCACTGTAATATGTTACCAGCTTTTAGGGTGATATTTGCTCTTGCATCTGTATGCTTGGTGTCTGTGCACAGTATTTGTGTACAAACATAAGGAAGTCAGGAAAACTTGGGGTTTTTTTCACTAGAAGGTATATATCTGTAAAGGAAGGCTGAAAGTCTGCTTTCAAGTCTGCAAAGCATGCATTTCATTTGCCAATACCTGGTCATTTGTAAATGGTAACTTGGCTGCAGCCCCACATGCTCCAACTTTGGGAAAACTGCTGATATAAGTGCTGTGTGTGCCACTTCTTTTTACCCTCGCAATTTCTATTCACTTTAAAGCTGTTTTGTTTCCTTTGTCATTTTTAAAAATATCTAAAATAATATGTGTATATGCATATATATATAGCAAATAAGAAAACTGGTATACAAAGTGTAGGTTATGAATAGTATAATTATGAATCATGGTAAAATTAGTCAGCTTTATTTAATCCTCAGGGCCTTTGATTTCTTGAAAGTACTATGAAAAGTTGCATACACCATTATCATTACATGCTGGTTTTCTGCATTTCAAAAATTAGTAAAAGAGGAGATTGCTTTAAAGCAGGACAATGTTACTTTTCTTTGTATATATTTCTGTGTAAAGAGAATAAGCCTATGAATGAAACAGGTGAAACAAATAAGCTACTGCATCCATGGGGAAAACAAGATGAAATTTATTCTGAGTCTAGTTGGAGCAGCTAAAATTAAGAAGAGCTACAGTTACTTTACCAAAATAACTGGGAAATTGCTATGCAGCTCACACCAGAGGCAAAAGAAGATGAGCATGAATTGGATAAGGTGGATCCCATAGGCTAGGACCAGCGAATGGAGAAATATTAAAACAATCCACAAGGAAAAAAAAGCGGAATGTTTAAAACATTGTTCAATCAACTGAGCCAACAAGAAATATTTTTCAGTCTCATTCTGCAAATCTTATGAGGGAATGGTCCTTTAGTTGTTTCAGAAAAGGTCATGCTGAGGAGCTGAGTGTGGTGCCAGAACGTTGAGGAACTGCAGAGGTGCTCAGAGCTGCTCAGCTGTGTAACTGTGGCATGCAAGCAGTGCTGGAAAACAAAGATGTTTAAAAAGAGAATAAAATAAAGTGGACAAACTCTTGAGTTCTTTGCTTGGGGGGCTTCCAGAGACAAGGAGCTGCAGAGTACACTTACTGCAGGAGGCAGTGCTAGGGTAGTAAGGCAAAGAGAGAGCAGACACAAGAGTTCTGCTACAGAGGTGAAACTGGTTCTGGGAGATTTAATGTGAATGAGCAAGACATACAAAGCAAAATATTTCATTGTGTTTCATCTGATTGTGTAAGAACTTCATGAACTTTTTTAAACTTTAAAGAATGTACCAGTTCCAAGAACATGAAATTTCATGTAGAATTACCAATTTTTATGAATAAGTCCCTAATCTCATACTGTGTAGTGCTTTTCTTTTTTTTCTCCTCAGTGTAATAAATACCTTTATTGAGGAGTAAAATTGATTTTGTGGGAGATAAAAAAAAATCCAAAGCTCTTCAGTTAACTTTAATAGACATTAAAAGACTTTGTTAAAATGCAGGTGTCCCATTAGAGTGAACATTTTAATAATTAAAAGTCAATAAAAATGAAAACCTGATGATATGACAATCATTTGGAAAATCTACTGCTTTGTTTCCAGGTATTGGTGTGCACGGGAAGTCCTCTTAGCCCTAACAGCACTCAAACACAGAAGTCTATAGGCAAATCCCAGCAAAAAGAAAAAAAAGAGTGTCTGGCCTTAGTGAGAACAATACTAGGTCCCTGTGTCAGCAAATGCCTTTTCCTGCTCTCTGGCTCTTAACAGGGAAGTCCTTGTTAATCAGCCAGTGTGATCTTGGCTTAATGATTCAGAATCACTACAATGGGATGCCAAAGATCTCTCCAAGTGAAAAAAAAAAAAAATAATCTCCTTCTTTGTTATCATTTTTGAAGGGTCTAAGTATGAATGGTTTGAAAAAAGGAAGAGCAGGGCTGGAACTTGGCTTTTACAGCCAGAAAATTCTTGTATCTCTTCCAAGTGACACTATAAGGCTTTCCGTTTTGAAAGTCTAAAAGAAAAATTTTTGTTTAATCTTCATGGAGGTGAGGGAGAGGACAAAGACAGAAACCTTGAGCTTTCCTCCATCTTCCTCCATCCTCATCTTGACCTGAATCTCTTGGAAAAGGAGAGAGCTCAATTTGGTGAAGCAACTCATTTGGAATATCAATTACCCTACAAAAGCATGTCCCAGACTTCCTAAGCTGTCGGAAGGTTTGTCACTGCCACGCGCGAACCTTCAGAAGTTACGTCTGAGGAGGGAAGACGTTGTTAGAAATCTTCCCCTGCGCGACACACTGTCTCAATTCCTTCTAAAACAACTCCTAATTGGTTCTTTTTTCTTCTTCCTCCTTTCTTTTTTATTTTTTTTTCTTTTTTTTTTTTTTTTTTTCTATATTTCCCCTTCCCAACTCTGCAGCACCAGGGCAAAATCGGAGTTAAGTTTAATGTCGGGACGGACGACATCGCCATCGAGGAGATGAACGCCATCATCAATGACGGGAAGTACCACGTGGTGCGCTTCACCCGGAGCGGTGGCAATGCCACCCTGCAGGTGGACAACTGGCCCGTCATCGAGCGCTACCCAGCAGGTAAGGCCTCACACACACACCTGGCACTAACAGGGTTGGGGGTCTGCCTGGATTTTTTTGGCCTCGTTTTGCTCCCCTCCCAATGCACTCTCAGCTCCTTTGAGGTGTTTTGGTAGCTGCAGAAGTAGTTGAAAGAATCCTGAGCAGCGCAGTTTATGATGATGGCGTTTCCTAAGTGAGTTTAAAAGCCCAAATTCAGGTTATTACTGGGAGTGGGGAAAGCGCAGTTATGGAGGCATGAAGTAGTAGTTTTGTTTCTTGCTATCATTTGTTTTTATTGCACTTTTGGTTTAGCGGGGGGGAAAAAAAAGGCTTTGACAAAAGCTACACAGTTTAAAGTGACTCACAAGCCTATCCCCAAGTGATGGGGTGAAACATTTACTGAGGAAAAGGTTGTCTGTGTTCTTTTGATTACAAGATTACAGCAATCTGAAGCTTATGAATTTAACAGAAGTCTTCCAGCAGACACAAACCAAAAAACGTCGCAGTTACCAATTGTACAACCAACCACCCAAACTGAGGTGCCTTAACTCCAAATTCAAACTACAGGATATTATTTAGCAGATGATGCTGGTTACTTGAAGAGGACCACTAGTATGGTGGCAGAACTATCTTGAGCAGGCCCATATTTAATTTTGTGCCAATTTTATGCACTGAGGATTACTATGATACTAATTTTATTCATTTTTAAAGGCAACAGGTTTTTCGGATACACAATCCCTTTCTTATTGAGTAGGACAAGTGAGCCATTAATGGTAACTTATGCATCTGCATGTTATCTCCTAACAGTAGCTCTGTGTGTTTATATTAAGCAAAAGGCAGCAAATCTAGAGGTGTAAATGAAGGCAAATATGCAAACCAGAATGCTGACTGCACAAATGGCAGTTCTGATTTATTGGTTTAAAATTAGAAAATTCTTCCTTTTGGGTGTGGAGTGCAGCAGGAGGGTGTGTTTCACTAGTAAGGAATGCATAAGCTATTCCCTGGACTAATTATTAGTATTTAGGATGGGGATTTTTGTTATTGCTGCCATTTCAGTTGTAGTTCACCTACTTTAAAAAATAAAAATATTTTAAAAAATTCACGTGTGAAATATTATCCTTCAGATAATTTCTTGGAAATAATTCAGAATATATGAAATAATGAAAGTATGCGTTCATTTATTATAGGGAAAGAAACTATGTATAGCAGAAGTTGTCAAAAAACCCACCTGTGTTCCAATGTGCTATGAATGAATGGCAGCTCCTGGAATTAGAGCCATTAATGGTTTCTAAGTTAGACACATCTATGAGAGGTGATAAACTCTTGAGGGAAAGGAGGATACTGAATTAAATACATTCAGTGATCTTTCAGATATTCCTTTTTCCCCTGTGGACTCCTAGCTTTCTAATTTTAAAGGGTTTGGTAAATGGTTGCTGAAATAAGGTGTAAGCTGGGGAGGACTTGTTATCATTTGTATTCAAGACCTTTTCAACACAAAGGGGAAAATAGGCTTGAGGTGTTTTTTTGTTTATTTTGGTTTTTACCAAATGATGAGCATGAATTCACCACCTCCAAGCTCAGGAGTGATGCATCCCAACAAAGAGGAAGTCAGGCAAACAGGCCAGGAGGTCTGTGTGAATGAACAGGGAGCTCTGAACAGGCTCAAACACAAAAAGAAGCCTTGAGTTCTGAAGCTAGTAGCACATAGATATTGTTTATAATGAACGAAGATCAATTTAGAAAATAGAGTGACTTCCTTAGGATGGGATTGGTGGAGTGGACGAAAGACATTTTCTTTGAAGAAAGAAAACAAAATATTAGAATTTTATTGAGTTTCCATCAGCGCTCTATGTGCAGGCTGCATTTCAAGGCATTCTCGGTTGCTTCATTAGCTGTGGTACAGAATCCCTTGGTTTGTTTTAGTGTTGGATCTTCTAAGACTTCTGTTGGCCTGTAACTTTCTTTGACCTTTCCATAATAATGTTTTATGACTCCTGTATGCCATAGCATTGCTTTTGTCTGCTATCCTCCAGTTTTCACCTTCCATCTCTTCTCCCTTCCCAGAAAGCAGCCATCAAGTCACACCTTTCTCTTCTCTTATTATGCTGTTCCATCAGATTTGCCAGTCTTGTTGTTTTGAGTTTTTTAGTTAATAGTAAAAACCAAGATTAGGCAGCCTAATTAGTAAAGTTGCTACACTTATGTATGCTGGAATATTTTTTTTCAAGGTAAAATTAAATAATCAGTTTGTCTAAAGCATACCAACTGATCAGGTCTTTCTTGTTGAGGAAAGATTTTTCTCAGAATTACTCTTCAGGTTGGCATGCCTGATTACAAGACATTGGTTGTTTGTGTTTGGTGCCTTAAAATTCTGGGTGAAGATTCTCTAAGAGAATTTTCTGGTCAGAGACTCAGGAATTTCCAGTTTCATTGCCTGTGTATCCTTAATCTGGCCCCAGGTAGCTGCTGTGGATAAGGATACCCAAGTCCCAAAACCAGCTGGTACCTTGCAAAAAAAAAATAAAAAATCACATGGCAATACTTCACAGAGTTTCCAAGGTGGCCTTGTGTATTTTATCCAAGAGCTGCATAAAATGCAGAAGAGTGACTCTGGAAGATGAAAAGAATGTAGTCTGCCTCTCCTGTGACAACATTCTTGATCCCGCTAGATTTGAGTTTGCTCTGGGCCAATGCACCTTCAATTTATATCTGAGTGGGTGTGAAATGGGAGAGCTGTAAAAGGAGAAGAGGCAGGGGTCAGTGGTAGAGGATGATTACCCTAGTTAAGGTGGATGGTTGTTTTTTGAAATGTAGTTGGGAAAGATGTGTTTTTGTCCTAGACAAATGTGAAGATTTCAGTATCCTGAAATGGCTGGATGATTTTCAGAAACAGAGGTTTGGATTTACATATGTATGTTCTTCCAGACTACCATCAAAGTAATTTTTTTACTCTGAAGTTTCTTTCCCGTCACTTTTCTGAATAAAATAAAATGCCAGAGCTGTGAGGATGTATACTTTGATTTCTGCCCTTTATTAAATGTTGATTCTGTTTTCCCCATTTCTTGTGTTTATGGCTGGTGCATAGCCCTGTGATTGTGAGTGGCACACTGTAGTTTTTTAATAGTTGATTATGATGCCCATATTTTCACTTGATTTATTTATTCCATCTGTCTTAACTAAATTCAGTGCTATGTCTCTTTGCTGAATTATCACCATCCCTCTGCACCTTCTCAAAGAACTTTAGTGTTTCATCTTGACCTCTTTTTCAGTCAGTAAATTCACATTAGCTTCTCTGGATGCAGCCTTATTTATGATCATATTAAACAGCAATGAGAAAACTGCCGACAATTCAGTCAGAGCTCCCAATAAATAGACTATCCCCATTTCCATGCAGATCCTTTCTACTCCTTGTGGCTTATCTTGTCTGCTTCTCTGTCTAGTTTTAATTTCCCTTCCCAATGGTCTGGCTGCTGTTGTAGTGATGGGGCTGCTCCACAATAGCAACTCCAGCTGCTTCTGTGAGGAGGCTGCTCTTGTAAGTTCAGTTAGGTAATAATTCTACACTTTAGGCTCCCCAAGCTTGCATAAAACAAAGAACTTGTTAATTTGTGTCAAAATTAATTAAGAATTTTGGTCAAATTAAAAAAATATTGTTTTAGTAATATGAAAAGATTAATTTCAGTATTTTCTGAATAAAATTTTCTGACTTTTCATGTCAGGATTGCCCAGTGTTTACAGGGGACTTCGATAATCCTTACCTAAAAGAAAATGTGTTTCAGATAAAATCAAAAAGAGAAGAGGGAAAAAATCCTCATAATAGTGCTCATAACTGTACCTATTTATCATGAGAAACAGTTTTCTTAATTATCTGATTTTTGTTACCTGGTAGTCAAATGTGTATATTTTACTAGTTAGAGAAAGTATGTCAAGACAAGGTAGAGGACATTTTAAAGCCACAATAGCCACTACTTACTGTGAAAGAATTTCAGAATCACTTTTCTAACACTAACCGTGCTTTCTGTGGTCAAAGGCAGTTTGCCCAATGATGATTCTTTTAAAACACACAGCACAACTAATCATTTTACCAGTGAGGATTTTCTCTTCATGACTTCCATCGTAAATCAGACCGATATAGAATTTTCTATCTAGAAAATGACCTATTCGATACTGGGCAATGGGTCTATGGTTTCAAAGCTGCTCAGTCTGCTGGGAATGCTCAGCATTCCTGGGCCCCTGCAGCAGTTTGGAAGATACTGTCTGATGTAGGCAAATATCTAAAACGATGCCCCCCCAGTCATCCCTGGATCTCTGCTTAGCCTTAGAAAAGCAGAACTTTGTTGCAGCTGTCCTCACGTACCCCATGGGTCAGGGATGTGTCTGACAGACCAAGATCTGACAGCATGAGCATGTCACTCACACTGCTTGCAGAAAAGAGCTTGTCCAAAGCATTGCCAGACTGCTGGAACAGATGCATCTCTGTGATTTGGAGGTATAAATCATGATAGAGTGCAGACAATAAAGAACCTGTGTGAGAGACCATGGATGCTGGCAGAAGAACAAACTGACATTATGTCAGTGCCTCTGCAATATGGCAATCACTGGCTTGAAGGGCTTTCATATAATACAGAATAATTCTGTACTGGGTTTTGGTTTGTTTGTTTGGTTTTTTTTTTTGGTGTGAGGTTTTTTTTTTTTTTTCTGAATTGGATTTTTTTTTTGTCGTTTGGTTTAATTAAAGAGCTGAGATCACACATGTTGTCTTTGGGGACTGTCTCTGGATCTGTGGGATCAAGGCTGTTCCTGCAGAACATCCAAGGGCTATGGGAAAGGGACATGTCATTTAAATGCTTCTCTTGGTCCCTGTGTTCTAGAAAATAGAAAAAGTGTCTGTCATCTTTTCGTGGGGAACATGTGACTTGAAGATAAATGCTAGGAGTCAGCTATTACCATGTATCCTATTTAGGGTAAATAGCATCCATTTGTCTTGGTTTTTCTGTGTTCAGATTGACTATGAAATT